CGCCATGAATGGGGGGAGCACTGTATATTTTGTCAGTCGACTGGCATTATGGTTGAACAAACATTGGTATAGTACAAATATGGTCGGTCAGAGTAGATGATTCTCTCCCTGCTGGTACGCATTGGTGAATTCTCACTTTTACACAAGTGGCTACATCCGTTCAGTTTACAAACCTCACAGAATTGGCGACAAAGCAGATAGGAAGAACAGGGCAGAGAGTGTTTTCCCCACGGACCCAGGACATGGAAAGTTGCGACATGGCACCGATTGAAAAGAAGCCATACTTGATGAGCCCAGGCTGGCCGACAACTGCTATTTCTGAAACACTGAAAGCACAGTGAGGACCATTGTAATTGAGTTGCTGCTCACATAACATAAACAGGGTGTAACCCAATAAGACAAATACAAAACAGATGAAGAGCAATGTCAACATGACACCAATATTACTTTTTTTTCATTCCATTGTGTCATTTTGTGCAGACCCGTAAAGGTGAGCCCTTTAATATTAGAGAACAGTGTCACCTTGAGGCAGGCCCAGTATGGGTAATATTTATGGTCTGTCTATGGTCATATTTTGAACTGTATCATTGCGCATCTACACAACCCACCTCTTTTTTCCTTACAGCCCGCGGAACCATTTTAATCTTGTTGTTGTACAAATGTAAAATGCTGACATTTGTGCTTATTCCGTTGTATTATGTACTTATAGCATGGGTACGTATGCCATTTAAGGTAGGGCTGGGTGATATATCATTATAGTATCTAACTAGAGACATGAAAATACAAGATATTAACATGGAATGTAGGACGATAGCAGTCACGTGACCTTGCCAACCACATTTCTCTTTTAAGGTTTTCCGTTCATCGCCAGCTAATGCCAGCCAATGACAATCATGTTGTGAGAGGGAGAGAGAGGGAGAGAGGGAAATGTAAAATGCAATATGAATATTGTTGGAGGGAATGGTCATCTATTTTACATTGATACACTAAAGAGTGTACAATTGGATATCATTCTTGACTGAATTATATACGTGGAGCAAAGTGGGCCAGTCTGAGCCCTGAAATTCTAGTGTTGAAAATGAGTTTCACTCTGGCCCTGCCTTTAGGCATTCTTTTGACTGAAGAATTCTGAAAATGGCTTTTGAAGCGCTCGCACGTATACAACCTAAAATGGCTGACTTTGGGACTGAACTCGGGATGGGCGAATAACGATACGTGGTATAGGTATCAGTGCCGATACCAGGTGGCAAGGGTGGATAGTTGGATTTGAGCGATACTCAAATGACACAGAACAACTCTTTCTTCAAAATAATTTTTGGAACAAAAAAGTGTAAATGGATGTTTCCTCACAACTGATGCACTTGAATGTGCTGATGCACAGTAGTTGGAAATCACTGCATTATATGATGCAATATAGATTACTAAAGTATACTGGAATAAAATATTGAGGTGGAAAACCTTTACAAGTATATGAGATTCTCGTTGGAAAATTTAGACTTGTCTTGTGTAAGTGACATTTTTTTTCTCTACTAAAAACAGTATAGAGCAGGGGTGCCCAACCAGTTGATCACGACCGACCAGTCGACCGGTCCCAAGTCGATCACGAAAGGTGTAGGCCTGTAGGAGCAAATGGAAAAAAACAAAACAAAACAAAAAAAAAAAGATTGGTGTGTCTGTGTGCATGTTAGTAATATTATATATTTTTGTGAAAGTTTACACCAGCCAAAGGGGATCCAATCAGTTTCACTGTCACATAAAAAGTATTTAAAAAAGAAAAACACAGAAAACGCAGGTGGGCGGCACGGTGATCGACTGGTCAGCACATGGGCCTCACAGTGTGGCATTTGCATATTCTCGTTTCGTTCATGTTAGGGGCCGTTATGGCTGTTGCTCATCATGGCGCGCGCGCGCGCGTGTGTGTGTGTGTGTGTGTGTGTGTGTGTGTGTGTGTGTGTGTGTGTGTGTGTATGCATGCGTGCATATGCGCACGTGTGGTAAAGGGTCAATCGCGGGAGGTTGGTTGTTTGAAAAGTAGATCGTCAGTCAAAAAAGATTGGGACCCCCTTGTATTGACCAACCTATGACTAACACTGGTTTTGTTGGTGCCACCAGGAAAAGAAAAACCCAACTCTTTCGTCACTGGACAACCCACTCTACTTACAGAGCCACAGCTTCCCAACAAGACCAGCGCCCTGCTTCGGCCTTGCCAGTAGCAGGTGATGGCTGGTGACAGCAGCAGCTGGTTTCTTGCCGGTGTCACCAGCTATCAGTAAGGCAACACCATGCGGCTCAGTTGGTAGATCGGGCTGATCGATGACAAAGGGGTTGGTTGTTTGAGTCCCCGCTATCTTTGTTGTCTTCATATTAAATTATTAATATTTAGAGAGATATTACATTGAATTAATCGTGTAAAGAATTCATGGATTCAGAGGTGTTCAACAAGACTCCATTCAGTGTACATGTATGTTACACTGTATGGATCTCTGATGCAATAAAAACAGTAAATGAGAAATAATGATCGGAAAAGTCTCACCTCTCTTTTTGGGATATGAAGTTAGCCTCAAACTTCACTTCATCGAATGGCAGGACATAAAATGTTGCATGTTTTCTTGGGGTCTTTCCTGTTGTCACAGGCTCATCTGAACAGCTGGAGGATGACTGCTCCACTGTAGATGAATAGAAGTTACAGTACATTACATATATATACTTTCTTCTTTCTACCCACAATCTTGCTGCTGTAGACTGTAAATTTCCCCAGTGTGGGACAAATAAAGGATATCTTATCTTATCTTATCTTATATATAACTTGGGGATAAAGACAACAACGTAGCCAAGAGATGCGTCTTATTAGGTTATTCATCCATCCATCCAACCATTTTTTTAATCCACATATCGTCACAAGGGTCGCGGGAGTGCTGGAGCCAATCCCAGCTGTCTTCGGGCAGTAGGCGGGGTACACCCTGAACTGGTGGCCAGCCAATCGCAGGACACACAAAGATGGACAACGATTCGCCCTCACACTTACATCTAGGGACAATTTACAGTGTTCAATCAGCCTGCCATGTTTTTGGAATGTGGGAGGAAACCGAAGTACCCGGAGAAAACCCACGCAGGCACGGGGAGAACATGCAAACTCCATACAGAAAGGCCGGAGCGGCAATCGATCCCTGCAACTCTGCACTGTGAGGCGGACATGCTAATTTGCCTTTGGGTTTTTCAATACGAACAAAAAGAAAAACTATACAAAAATAGGACACAGTGTTCAGATTTAACTCCAAAAGTGACAATCAGTTGAATTTTCAGACACACCAGTGAGGGACAGATGCACCGGAATGGAGCTGAGGGGTTGGCTCTCACTGGTTTGGCTCACTTTGGGGGTAGGAATGTAGTCCTCTGCCATGATGTAGATGAAATATTGGCCAACTGTTGCGCTTCCAGTAAACGACAAAGCACATGCATCCTAGCAAATTGGAGATATAATGTGTAAAAAAGACAGATGACCAAGGTTGAAATGATTAATTTCACTTTGCCTTTTAATTGTCCATTCACAATTGAAATTTACCACATATCCATTGTATGCTTCGCTGTTTTATGAAGTTTGGTCGAATTGTATCCCGCTATGTGATAGTCTCTCCCATATTAAACAACACTATACTGCCTGTACATTCTCTTGAACTCCACTAATATGTACCCATCCATCCATCCTTTTTCTGATCCGCTTTATCCTCACAAGGGTCGCAGGGGGTGCTGGAGCCTATCCCAGCTGTCTTCGGGCAGGAGGCACACAGAGACAAACAACCATCCGTGCTCATCCTCACACCTTGGGACAATTTGGAGTGTTCAATCAGCCTGCCATGCATGTTTTTGGAGTGTGGGAGGAAACCTACACATTTTTGCTGTGATGACCATATTTGGTAACTACTTTGTCCCTCAGAAGCGTGCATATATCCACCATGGTCAAACTCAAAAAATAAAAGATGAACATTACAAACATAATAATAATAATAATAATAATCAGCATAATAAGTGCATTATTTGTGTTGGTCTCTCTTTTGTTTGCAAGATACAGGTACTTCATGAAAAATGAACAGTTGGGCCACTACGACTGTGAGGGGTGATTTTATTGATGCCATAGTGACTCAAACAGTGAAACAAACAAACAAACAAACCAAAAAAAACAAAAGTCCTCTTCCTTGACCCATCCACTGACCCTGTCGATAATCTTGTTTGAGCGTTTTGTGTCATCCTGTAAACAGTCTATCTCTACGGCTATTTTGGTCAACTAATACACTCTGATATAAAGTCATTAAATTGACAAAGCGAGTAGTGGTCACTTTTTTCATCACAGGTTACATTCACTGAGTTGAATGTTCAAGTCGCACTGACCTTGTCCAGCTCAAGAAAAGAGTGTGGAGTACAGTTGAGACACTCCCCTTGTTCTTCCACAGCAAAGCGGCATCGTACCCTGTCTCCATCCAGGTCTTTCACTGACAGCTGTATGTGGTGAGGGCAGTTCTCACGGGCCCTGCTCCCAGATGTCAAAAAGTCATCGTAATCTTCACACATATTGCAAGCTATATAGAAATGTCTCATCGGAGAGGATGATGTTAAACAATTACTTTTAGGCGTTAGTCCTGATGCTCGTCTGTATGAGTGTGCGTCCATTACCTTATTGGGGGAGGTAGTGCAACATAGGCGGGATGATTGAGTTTCCCAGAGTTTGCGCGAATATGTGGCCCTGCCTTCAGTGATACATAAAAGGTGGTGCTGGAGCTAAAAAGAAAAGAACAGACTCTAAGAGCTGAAAATGTAAATAACATTAAATTCAATGACAAGAACGGACAAGCTAGCAGTCTTAATCAGTCTGTTGTTTTTGAAAGAGGTCTCATACTTCAAACTGACTGAGCTATTGTAGCGACTGGGGACCACCTGCTCCCACTGGCGAACACACCAGCCTGAGCCAGGTTTCGCACCACTGAAGGGGGAGTAGGCTCTGTGAAGGGTGCAGTTGACCCCTTCAGTACACAGTCCGGTTAATGGCGGGCATGGATTGGATGCAATTACGGTGAAATGAGCTCTCACCTGCAAATATCCAAGAGGAAAAACAATGTCAACTTTTCACAAATATTGCATGTCAAAATATAACTTGAGAACAAGGCTTTCATATTCAAGTAATGGACTTTTTTATTCAATGTAATTGGTTTATTTGAAGAGAAATTTTGCATAAAAGATTCCCAAGAACGCTTTGTGAATGGTAGGAAGAAACAATTTTCTTAACAGATAACCGAGTACAGTAATTCCCAGATAGGTTGGTGTTTTTTTCTTTTTGTGAGAATTGCCCGACTTTCTTTATTCACTTCACATTGCTATGGAAAAAATGTTTGAATTTGGAACTTGAAAGAGCTTTGGGGATTTCACTGTAGTTTAGTAATATTAACAACTTGGGTCCAAAAAGTAGATGATGTGACACAACCATCACTTGAAAGAGTAGGGAACAGATTACTAAAGTTTGGCTGAATACCATTGCCACAGCCTATTAAAAAAAAAAAAAAAAAAAACCCAAAAAACAAAAAATGGGAGTAGAGCAAATATTGCCTACCGATTGCCCTCCATCGCTTTGTAGGGGCACAACATGAACTGTGAGCCCCAGGGAGGAGGCCTCACAGGCCGGCCCTATCCAGAGGAGAACCAGCCTCTGCACCACAATTGCCAATGTCAGTCTATCAACCATTGCAGCTCCTCATTCATACACCATTGTCACACCTATAGAAAACAGACAGAGCAGCTGTTTTAGCCACCAAAATCCATTACAGCATGATATAAGTGCTACATTGCAAGACAAAGACGTGCAATATATCTAAAACGAACTCACATAAAAAACAAAGCTGTCCTTTAAGGACTACCAAGCGGTGTTAAAAAGGCTGCAGAATGAGACAATTCTTCTCCTGAAAAATGCACACTAGATGACCATGTGTTTCAGAATGACAAGAATGTAGGAGACAGGAGCCAGTACATGTTTTGTGGAGGTTGAAGAAAGCCAGAGTACCCAGAAAAGGCAAGTCAAATTTATTTATATAGCCCTTAATCACAGAAACGTCTTAAAAGGCTTCACATGATCACAGTTAAATATTAACGAAATCCCCTGGTCTTAACCCCAAGGAGGGTAAGGATAAACTCATCTGGGGAAAAATGAGAAACCTTGAGAAGTGGGAGAAACATGTGAACGCCATGCAGGAAGGCCCAAGTTGAGAGTCGAACCCAGAACCGTGAGATTGTTTCTCATTCTCCCGGCTGTGCTGATAAAAAAGCAAAACAAAATAAAAGGAATAAGGAGAATTGTGATTTTCTGCGTGGTCATTGGCAGGGTCGTAGTTCACTGACTATTGTACTGCTGTCAGGGCATGGATTGACAATGAACCATTCATCTTTGCCCTGTGATTGGTGACCGATCGATGGGCCTCTGAACTGGATAAACCAAAGAAAAAGTGCTTACGAGTATGCACATTCATCCAGGTCAATTCAGTCTCAAGGAAGTGAATCAATCACAACTGAACTGTTGTGGTTGGCTTGTTGCGCCTCTCATCCAAGCAGGCGTCACCAGTTGATGCACAAGACTGATGAGGTTTTCATCAATTCAATGCCCTAACAACAGAGAGAAAGGGGATGGATGGAATGAAGACATATAAAGGTGATCTGAAGAAAATACAAAAGTGCTTTATAGTGAGTTTTTCTAATCCCCATAATATGTTAATAACATATTTTATGAGTTTGTGGTTTTAGTAGAGTCTTTAGGAGTGAGATGAAGAAATGGAAACTGCCAAGCAAATTACATCTCTTACAGTATTTGTTCCATTGGTCAAGTTACACGGACAACACGTTTTACAAATAGCAGTAAAACAAGCAACTAAGGAGGCGTTAAAAAAGGATGCAAGAGTGTAAGCTCAGCTTTAGTTTGATATGTGTTTGATTACTGCCTACAACGCCCTGTGATTTTGCCAGTTCTGTTGCTCACTGTCTAGTTCAACAGGCGGATTTAGATTCAAAACCCGTCAATAGTTTTCAAGTGTTGTAAAACTTTGTTTTGGGTTACTGTAGTTCAAGGCCTGGTATGTTTGTATTGCGTGGCTTTAGGATTACAAAATAGAAACTGATTGAAATTAAACAAACGTGATTTTATTACAGCATTATATTGGTTACTGCTGCAAAATTCTAAAAACAAGGAAAACAATCTACTTTACAGCATCCTACATAATAGGCACATACCTGTATACCACAAGTATCAACTTTAAAGTTTCCTTATTTAGTTTTGATAAGAACGTGCATGAATATAACCAAACGCCTGTCACGGTTGTATTTCAATTTCAGAAAGAGGTCAGATGGCTAGCAACCAAACATAACTAATGGATGCGGAAAGTTTTTTTTTTTGAAACCCCATTTCATTTTCACAAAAGGATTTCCATTCCATGACATTGCCTGTATTGGACATTGCACAAAGCCTTTCATTTTGTAGAAGAACACTTCAGTCCCCACCACTACTTGTTTTAAGGTGAAAGGGTCCTTGGAAGTGTTTTTACTGTGAAAATCCCAACTTTGCTACTATTGTTTTAAAAGGAATCAAGCAATTCTCTGTGAAATATGTACACGTTATACTTGCAGTATTTTACATATGATCTCTAAACTATACCGTCCACTGGAATCACCACAAAAATCAGGAATTATGAATGGTAGCCCAAATTATCAAACAAGTTCTATAAAGGATTACCTTTCATGAACTCCAGCCTTGGACCTGGTAATGTCTCACCTGGCATCAATGAAGAAGTAAAAACTCCTTCCATAGGCGAAGGTCTTAACAAAAGGTGGAGTTAAGCCAAAAAATTGGGCCGATAGAGAATGAAGTTCAACTGGCTGGACCATAGGCAATATATGAGGACTGACAAAGGCTGCATGACAGGAGGAGGGCTTGTACAACTGGTATGCTTTGTAAAAGATTTTGATGCAGCGTTTGTCTGACGTAGTTGTAAATACACATGGATAAAATTGACAGCACCATCCCCTTAAAGAAAAAAACTGCTTACTGAAATAACTCAAAATTGCCATCTCTCCTGCCAAAGTATTATCCAACGAAAATCAAATATTGCTTTAATATGATCCAACAGCATAAAAAATGATAATAATGAAATCAGCCTGGACAAAATGGATGGTGCTTTGAACTTAATATTGTGAAGCACAAGTGAGATGATAAAACCTGTTTCCACACTCCCATTGAGACTGGCGCTCCTGTGGACAGGTATTTTGGCCCACTCCTTGCGAGCAATCTGCTGTAGCGGTTTTAAAGGCTGCCTTTTCCTGACATGTTTCAGCTCATGAGCCATTCATGAGTGCTTTTAGCAGTGTGTTTTGGGTCATTATCTTGGTGGGAGATTTCAGACAGAGTAGCACATTTTGCTTCAGATCATCCAGTCTTGTACGCTGCACAGATTAACCCTTTCAGGGACAGCGGTTACTACAGTGGACACATTATGTTATCATGAAAGGGTTAAAAAAAAACACTGTACCAGTTTTCGCAAATCAGACCCAGGACATATACAAAGGACATTTTCCCACCGTTGCACAGAGTGAACATGGAGGCTGCCTTGTTCTGGGACTGCTGTACATCATCTAGCACAGGCTGATTCGAATACATGTTTGGTACTGAAATAAAGGAATCTGCTGAATGTTAGAAAGCTGGGACTCTTGGTCAATTTTGGGAAGGCACTTCTCAAAGCCAAGATCACTGAAGCAGGTGGACAAGTGTTGTCCACAGTCACAGAAATGTTGTTGCAGCCATTGGCTCACAAGGTGGAGCAAAAAAATATTAAGGATGCTCCTTTTTGTCCACAGCAGTCATTTTTTAATGCAGTTCAGTAATTCAGTTGGGTCACGCAAATAAAGCATTGCGGGATTTTTATTAAATATTTAGTGACCTTTGTGAGTTTTTCTTGAAAGGATAGGTACCAAAAATTTTATCCATGTGTAAAGTACTTAATTGGAACACAACAGAACACCACCAACAACAAAACTGCTTAGAATTCTGATTTATTATATGAAAAACAACATTTGGGGATGAGTAGTATGGAATTTCTTCATTCCTGCGAGGCTGATAGTCAAAGCAAACGGATTTATCTGGTTAAATGTGCTTGTCATCCTCTCTAGTAGTCTAATAATGCAAGTCTGGAATGATTTATTCCCCTCACATTAAATATCTGAAAATGCATGAGCAACAGTATCATTTAATTAATGTTTGGTCACATAAAACGTGGCTCCATCCAAAGATGGGGACACGGCCTTCCGTAGGGGAGGTTTTCATGAGTTTGGTCAGAGGGAGGGAGAAGGTCTTCTGGCGCTTTCAAATGCCTCTCAAGTGAAAGCTAGCAAACAAGGCAGAGTCCTGACTCTTACAAATTTGCGTCAATGCAGCGGGATATGCCCCATGTTTCCTACTGACCATTCTTAACATGAAGCATTTTCTCCTGAAATGACAAATTCACACTTGTAAGGGAACTGCACAAGACCCAAAACATTCAAATCAAGTCTTACTTTGAGCATGGTTTCCAGCTTGATGGCATCCGCAGCGAACTTGCGGATGCCATCGGACAGTTTTTCAACTGCCATGCGGTCCTCATTATGTTGCCAGCGGAAGTCCTTCTCATCTAGGTGGACCTTTTGTAGACTGCAATTCTTCGCTGTTGAAACAAAAATTAAGTCAATGCGGAAATCCTGCATTTGCGTGTTGCACTGAAACAAACACTTGACACAGCAGTACCAGTTTCCACAGTAAGCGTCTGTGTGACAGTGCTGTGGTCCTGGCTGAGTTCTGCAAGCAGCCCCGGAGAGATGGTGAGCAGGTCGCATCCGGCCAGGGCTTTAACTTGTCCCGTGTTTCGGAAAGAAGCACCCATCACCACAGTGCTGTAACCAAATTTCTTGTAGTAGTTGTATATCTTTGTCACACTCCGAACACCTGGTTGGGAGGGGAACAAAAATAAATTAGAGCAGGGGAATGAGGAAGTTGCGGGAACAAAAAACACAAATGACATCGCTTGGCTACTATATAACCATCAGAAAATTCCCTCAGAGAAGCAGCTAGACCAGACTAGCAGCTGCAAGTTACAATTAGTAGTTGTAGTTTCAAAAGCAGCTCTCTCTAGATGCGCATACAATTTAAGAATATAATCATTTAAAAGCAAACAAAAACACGCCCCAAAATAAACAAACAAATACAAAAACAAACAAAAAAACCCAACTTATTTTTCAAAAATGAATATTGAAAAAGAAAAAAAAACATTGCAAGCGTCAGGCCAAAACCTCGTGTCACAATTTGGTAATTTTCAGTTCACAAATCAAGACTATTGGTCAGTCCACACCTGTGGGTGTCATTTATACAAATTATTGACCAACCTTAATTGCTGAAAATAATTGAAAACAATACAATGCTAAAGGTTGAACAAATGTGACATTTATACTTAGTGAGAATTTTGGAGGTACAGTCAAACATCAGTTTTCGAACGTCTGTTCTCGACCAAATCGGCTTTCGCTAGTTACAGCCATTACTTTAGGTTGTATTAGTTCAAGGTGTAAAATAATGTAATCTACAATTGTCACGATGAGAGAGAGAGAGAGAGAGAGAGAGAGAGAGAGAGAGAGAGAGAGAGAGAGAGGTTACTTGAATTTTGATGTTACAATGTTAATGTTAAAATTGGTAAAAATAAAACATACAAAATATTTGTACAGTATTTTACATATTACCTGTGTATACAGTTTATGGTGTAAAATCGTAAAAAATGCTTCAAAAAGTTGTTTTCCTGACTTGGAACGGATAAAAATTTTTTACATTGATTATAACGGGAAACATGGTTTCAGATTTCAAACAAATCAGCTTTCGAACAGCCTTCTTGAACGGATTATGGTCGAAAACCGAGGTATGACTGTATGAGGATTCTGCCGAATGCCAGTGAGATACAAACCACTTGACTTCAAGTATTATAGAAGCCTCTGCAAGTTTCAAAAAAGGTTTGACGTGGTGCGGCTTGTGTCTGAAATTGTCCTCATACAGAATTCGCAGGTTGCTTCATGTTTGTTTGGTTGTTTGTTTGTTTTTGAAGACGTGGCGGTAAACCAAATACTAAAACCCTGCTGGTGGCTGACATTATTGAAAATAAGACGGCGTGCTTTGCCGCTTGCGGTTAAATTTAACCTGTCAGTTGGTAATTTGATAATTTGAAAAACTATTTTGAAGTAAATTGTCAATCATACCAAAAAGTTACATAGTAATATAATGCAAAATTGATGACGAGAAGACAAAGATTAGATTAGAGCTGGCAATTGAGAGTAAAGGCAAAACTGGTAATAGAAAACTTTGTGATTTGAAATGAGAGGTAAAAAGAGATACTCGATTCAATGGGTCATGAAATTAAAACATGGTGGGAGAGAAAGAAAACATCAGTACCCGGGTCTTCATGCGGCTCGTAGGTTTTGCGGTCTGTGTTCTCCTTATACCAGTCGAAGATGCGCCCAACGAAAGGGGAGATGAGCGTTACATTTGCTTCTGCACAAGCTACTGCTTGTGCAAAAGAGAAAAGCAGGGTCATGTTGCAATGAACGCCATGTTTGTCTTCAAGCTCCCTGAAAAACAGAACATTTGCGTGACATTTTAGTGGAAATCCAAACAAAACAAAAATGGATCACAACATTGTATATAAGGTCTTGTTGAAATTCAATTGTTTTGTCCCATCATGCCGAGAGTCCAACAAAAACAAAGCTGGTGTCACATCACATGCACACACTTACTTGCCAGCTTGGATTCCCTCCCATGTGGATGACAGCTTGATGAGCACCCGCTCCTTGCTGATGCCTGCTTCTTCGTAGAGTGCAATGAGCCTCAAAGCTTTGGCCACCATTTCTTCTTTGTCAAAAGACAGTCTGTGAAATACAACTGCATTTATTGTAATAGTTACTGGTAATAATTTGAGGAAAAATTCTACATCCATCGAGACGGCCCAATTTCAAAACAAAACCACACAATTTAGAGTTCATAAAAGATGGTACAGGTATGCAGTGTTCAAAAGGGAATATTGTACTGTCATTCAGGCATCTCTCCCTTATCTGCATCATGTTCAGCACAACTACACATTCAAACAAACAGTTGTGACAAAAGTACAATGGTTTGCCAAAGTATTCAGACCCCGAGAACTTTCGCTACATTTCAGGCTTCAAACAAAGATATAATATTTTAATTGTATGTGAAGAATAAGCACCAAGTGGAACACAATTCAATCAGGTATCACACTTTTCTTTTTTTTAGAAATAGAAAACTGAAAAGTGGGGCGCGCAAAATTAGTCAAACAACCTCAAGTAGCTGAAAATTACAGCTGCAGGTGTTTTGACTTGGCCATTCTAACACATTGATATGTTTAAGTTTGAAACATTCCATTGTAGATTTTGCTTTATGTCTTGGATCCATCCCAGTCTCGGGTCTTTTGCAAACTCCAACAGGTTTTCCTCCGATATGGCCCTCCCTGTATTTGGCTCCATCCATCTTCCCACCAATTTGAACCACCTTCCCTGTCCCTGCTCAAGAAAAGCAGTCCCAGACCATGATGCTACCACCATTATGTTTGACATTGGGGATGTTATATTACTTTTACCCATCCATCCATTTTCGAATCACGCTGAACTCGTTGCCAGCCAATCACAGGGCACACAGAGACAAACAACCACACCTAGGGACAATTTAAACTGTTCAATTAAGCTACTGTGCATGTTTTTGGAATGTGGGAGGAAACCGGAGTACCCGGAGAAAACCCAAGCAGGCACGGGAAGAATGTAAACTTCATAGAGGAAGGCCGGAGCCGGAATCGAAGCAAGCACAGCTGCACTGTGAGGTGGAAATGCTAACCAGGCGACCACTGTGTTACTTTTAGGTTAAACATAATATTTTGCACTTAGCCCAAAACGGTCCATTTTGGTTTCATCCGACCAGAGTACCCTCCACATTTCACGCGTCTCCAAGGTAGCTAATGTCAAACTGCAAAAGGGATTTTAAGGATTTCTTTGAGAAATGGCTTTCTTCTTACCACTCGACCGACCATAAAGGCCAGATTTGTGCAGTGTGCGACTAATAGTTGTTCTATGGACAGATGGCGAGATCTTGGTATGTCATCAGTGGTCTCATGCTCTCTCCGTTTCATTGATTGCTTGAATAGCACTATGCGAGATATTTAAAGCTTGTAAAATTGTTTTATATCCTAATCCTGTTTTTATGTTCTCCACACCAGTATTGTTGACCTGCCTGGTGTGGTCTATGGTCTTCATGATGCTACTGTATTTCCGCTTTAAGCAGACCTCCGAAACTATCACAGGGCAGTTGCATTATGGGATTGATGACACAGGTGGACTCTATCATCAGTCATTTAGGTCAGGACTCCGATTCCTCGAGAGCCATATTCTGCCTCCTTTAGATTTCTCCCTTTCTCCAGCACATCCGATTCAATTGATCATGATCGTTTCAGGCTTTTACAGAGCTTGCTGATGGGCTGATCATTTGAATGAGGTGTGTTGAAGTACAGATTGTATCAAAAACAGGCAGGATATGGAGGAATTGTACTTTCCCACCCCTGATTTCGGTCGACATTGGATCATTCAGAAATCCTCAGCGAGCTTATGGGGTGAGCTGGGCGCATTGATCGTAAAGCGGTCGAATAAAATTGCATGCCGTCACAAAACTTGAAAATATCACATGAATTTGGTTCCACTTGACAATTGTGGACACTGTTGATGCTTCACAAAAACAAAAGAAACAAAAAAAAAAAAGACAATTTTATATCTGTTTGAAGCCTGAAATGTGGCAAAAGGTCATAAGGTCGAATGTTGCGCAAGCAAGCCACTGCATGTTTACTGTAGCTTATTAAGAGGAAGAGAGGAAAAAGCAACGAAGGCAAGCTAATGAATATGCAGGAATAAGCTCAATTAAGTATTAAAGTGTCACCTTCTGGATTCACATTCCATATAAAATCTAATTACATTTTCGAAATTATTCATAGTCCTAAGAAGCAGCTTGACAATATGTGCATGTACCTGGCATCCACCTCAGTTGAGACCCTGCCTGGGACCTTCTTGAGGATCTCGAGACCAAAACTCACAAACAGCTTGTCCATGGTGTTGGCGATCTGCTCCTCCTCAGTTCTAACCAGCAAAGAAAGATGCTTCCATCAGTCAGTCACTTTTGCCATTAAATGTGAAGTTATGATTTAAACTGCTTCACGACTACGATCCTCGACCTGCAGTATATACATGCCGATTACATAGAGCAAAAATTTGAGCTCAAGCTCTTACCCGCCCTTGGCAATGCCATATTTGATGGCCTGATCCAACAGGCTCTGATAGGCTGGCATTTTGGCAGCAGCTAGGATCAGAGAAGGGTTGGTGGTGGCATCCTGAGGCTTGTATTCATCAATGGCTGCAACACAATAGGAAATGGAGGGGGTGCGGGGAACAAAAACAAACAAATTAGTATATTAGCCACCACATTTTGGTTCAAAATATCCTGCACACGTGTATTGATGACCACGATGCTCTTTGCAAACGACGAAGCAATGATTGGTTCCTGCAGGGCAAATTTACATTGACAAACGAATGACCTAACCCGTCACTGTCAACAAGGATTGTTATGAGTGCCAATAAGTATGACTGTGTCTTAATGTGTTTACCAACAATTTCATGAGTTAACTAATGAATAAACTACCCAAGTACACGTTTCATCAATTTTTTTGAATTTCAGAATTTTAATGGTAGACTGACCCCATCCACATCAAACCATGTGTGTTTGATGTGGATGTGTGGACATTTAGTCAGACAAATAAATGGCCTGCAGCGGGAAAATTTTGTCAAACACAAAATAATGACTCTGAAAAGAAACTCAAGGCTTTTTGAGAAATGGTTTGGGTGTACTCATTTATGATGAGCAAACACCACAGTTTAAACAGTCTTTGACAATGGAAACAAGTGTTTCCTTCAATGGAGTTGGCGCCATCTTGAGTATAAATTTGTCACGGTGCTCTTTAAAACACACTCATTCGGACTAAGCAGGCAGACCAACGTTTTTGATACAGTACAACTGTATACTACTTAATCTGATTATATCATGTTGTTCAGTATCCAAATGTTTAATTCAAGTTTCAGTGACTCACAGGAACAAATGTACTCATTTGTGCGGTTTAAATACCTAAGGGTAAATTCAATTTCTCACTCTGCCTTTTTCAGTCAAGCAAAAAAATGAAAATGAACAAAAAGGGAACAAATCACGAAAAGCAAATCTATATTAGCCAAGAATGAAACGATTGGATTTAAGTTCACTTTATCTGCTACACAAGCCATATAGAATTCAAACGAAAGATCATTTGAAGATCTCCATGAATTTGGATCAAACACATAGCCAGTGATAGTCTCCAACAATGAATGGAACAAAACAGCATTTTTAAATGCTGGGTAGGCCTTTCTCAATAGCCATAGGAGTGGCGAGCCTTTTCATCCATCGTGTTGTGTGTCAGCTTTACATTGTGGCCGCCTAAGCTTGCCAACTCTCCAGAGAACAAACCTATCCCTGTTCTTGGCAAGTGTTCCAATGAGTTTAGAACCCATGAGTGTGTCAGGGATTTCAATAAAATTCTTACTTACAGTCCAAATATTGGCCTGTTCAAATCTTTTCTGATTTGGAGTTGTGCAACATCACATACCAATACTGTAGTTGTGCTACAAAGATCAGACTCTCTACATTTGTCGGAAGCTGTCACAGAGGCGTGATGGTTCACAATTCTCTCCCCTTTTGTGGGTTTTTATACATAACGTCAGACATTAGCGCGACCATCATACATCTAATAATCTGATTGCGGAATGCTGTGGTTCCTTGAAAAACATGCACACTTAGGGAGAAATCCCACTTTGTTTGTTTCTGTATAAAATGCACGGATAAATGTTGGCTTATCTGATGGAAATTTGTAGGATTTGTTTGTCAAGATATTCTTTTATTCATCAGAAATATGAGCACTAATATTACTTTTGGATAACTGTGTAATACATGAGTCTTGGGCGAGAAAATATTTCATTCAATCGCTTAACAAAAATTAGCTGTTGCATACTTGGAGGACTGCAACATTTCCTACAAACCTGCCTTACACCGCAAATATGAGTTAAGGAAGTATCTGGGGTTGCCACACAATTAGCCATGTCCTGGGCATTTTGTCATAAAAAAAGAGAAGTGAAACAAGTAACTCGTAATTAATGAAACCCTGTGACGAAGAAGAAAAGTGGTACGAGCCCATTGTTCAAGCTCCTGCTGTAATTTTTAAAAAATCCATTATTACATTGTCTTTTATAAGTAAAATTTCAGGTGATTTAAAAAAAAAAAAAGATAATGTTGAAAATTAGGGTTTTCCACAATTGTTATTAAAAAAATTGTAGATGACAGTTTCTGCACAATCACTTTTAATAAAAATGAACAAGAAACCGGTTGACTCCTGACTACTTTGCTTAGCTATCAGCTGCCATTTTTCACAATTAAAATTCCTATGTGACAAAGTTTCCAAGGTCTGTGCTTAGGCCTGCAATATACTCACTTGATATTGTGATTCCCAATATTCTTTTTACCACTACCAGTAAGGCAATACTTGAATATCACTTGATTAGTCTGAAAGTGAAAATGAAAATGTACTTACAACAAATGTTCATCTATCTATGCCGGCAAGGTAAAGTGACAAGCAGAGCCACAGAACAAATAAATGCTCTTCCACTAAATGGCAGAAGGAACAATTAACCTACCTGTTGACTCTCATACAACCTACCTGTTGACTCACATGCACCTTGCCTCACTTTCATTATGAATGAGAACATTTATGAGCAAATTGTATTGAGCTCATTATTTCGGTACAAATACTTGTGACAGTTTAGTTTAGCGGTTTGTGTGAGCTCAATAAATGATTTGTGCATTTTGAAACAACCTCGTTCATTTAAAACAATTTTTGTGCACTGTAGTCTGGCAGTGACATTATTGCAATAACAATGCCTGAATATTAAACCTTCTTCAGCCAAGATTATCTAGGACACCAAAATTAATTTATGAAACCATGTTTGGTTTGGTTTCTCAAATGCAGGCTTCTAGGCAAACTGTCATGTCATCCTGACTGTGCAAGCCTTTTTGCGTTTGCATCACAAGCTAAGTGAATTACTCCACTTATTTCCTCATCAAAAGGCACTGTTGGAAACTGAACAGGCAAGTAAACCGTGCACAGGTTAAGGAAGGCAAACCAGGAAATAAAAACAAAACGTATTTCGTGTAAAACATCGTTGCCACTTTTTCCTATTCATACGGTAAATTTCAATAATATGCGATAATGTCAGAAAGTTACATACATTTTACCAAGACGCACTAAAACTTTATCTAAACTGCCTCTTGAGCCAAGTGCGCAACTAGTACACTTTATCAGTGAGGGGCGGATTTAGCAGGTTAATCGGATTTCTAAACTTGAACAATCACAAAATGAGGATCTTAAACCAACTTTCAAACAATATTAGGGTCGGGTGGTGGAACTACAAGGGCCTTGCTCGAGCGATGCTAGCATGCGTGTAGCTTTCTGGCTCGGGTTAATTATTGCCACGGCGGTCATTCACATTAACGATCCTCGCCTAATCTAGCACGCAAGCTAACCGGTTAGCATTAGCCGCTGGTTGGAAGCGGGTATTTTACCGTTAAAGTCCCCCGTGTCGGCCACCACCACAGTGTACTTCTTCAGCTGATTGAGCGCCGACTCCATTTTTCGCCGCTTGTCCGGAGACACACTGAGCATGGTGAGGAGCGACTGCGAGCTTTTTATACACACACAACACGTGAGCGCAAACGGAATGCAAGAGTTACGGGAGCGCGCAGCGCATCCAGGAAGCGGACACCGGGTACGCGCGCGCCGTTTAGCTGTAGGACTATGGTGTACGCACTGAAGTTCTACGGGGTGATTCTAAGAAAGGAGGTTTACACTACATACATTTTACTTGTTGTACATTTTAACACAATTTATTTCTTACGTTTATGAAAGAGAAGCGTAACACTTTTTGGGAACGTCTGTGACTATAAATCACAGAGGGACGTGACAACAAATATAATTTTTTTTTTTAAGCAAGACAAATTTCACCAGAAAGAGTTGGAATATCAAGGAACAAAACGGTGTTTAAAATTGCCAATATTACGAATTAAAGAAGTTATGACATTTTAAAGGTTTCAAAAAGTAGGCAAAAATGTTACAATGGATTGGCCTGTGACTGACTGAGTGTCTGTGCAAAACGGCGTGCGGCTGTTTCGGGACAATTAACAGCAAAAGCATTTTGAGTCGAGATAAGCTTCGGGAACGACTACGTGTGCTATATAAGCCATCTCTGCGGTGCGACCGCCATCTGCCTTTTGCTTGTTTGGCTATCGGAGATTGCCACACTTTAGCTCGCAACAGAAGCCTAACTTATCCCGGTGGGTGGCTGTATTATGTACTGTATTGTCATATACTTTTCAAGCCTGTTTAAAAATGACATCCAGTACAGTATAACCAAACTCAACTCAACTTCAGTATTGGAGCCCTTAAAAAAAAAAAAAAAAAAAAATCATCGCTACACACTAAATGCTGTCCATGGAGTAAAAATTAGATCCACCCCCCCCCCCCCCCCCCCAAAAAAAAAACAGAAGACAATGAAAACGACAAATGAAGAAAATAAAAACAGTAAACACCCTAAAACAAACAAATAAAAGCAATGCCAAGTCTCATGCTTAGTCAAAAGCCATCAAATAGAAATGTGCTTTAAGACACGTTTAAAAATGGACAGAGAGGGTCAAGGCGCAGTCTAACTGTGCGGATGGGTGGAGTTTTCTTTGTTCCTGTATTTTGCTTGACTAGCACAGGTAGAAGAGGGCATTTGCAGTTGCACTGTTGTGCGCCGTTGTGGGAGGGAATGCAGCAGAGGAACTGATGAAACGATTCTCCTCACTCCCTTTAAATTCAGCACAAAAAGAGCCGCACAGTATACATGGCATTTAGGTGCCGGAGATCAGTGCGTTTTAAGTACATTTAAAAGGAACTGCAATGATGCAAAATTCACCCCTGTGGATCAGCACTTGGAAAACGCCCTCCAAACAAGGATCTTATTACTCTTGTTACTTTACCACACGCCCCAAATATATTTCCAATAAAGTTCAGTGTGAAAAAACTTGCTCTTATTGTCATATTTTGCTAATGAGAAACTCTCCCTATTGGTTATTTGTAAAGTATTTTTAAAGTGCAGGAAGACAAACTCGGTGTGAACACTTGGTGTGAATACTTTTCCAATGGAAACTCCCCTCCACACACGATGGTGTCATTTTATGTGTGTCAGTGCAACAGTAGCTGTGCTGAGAACGTCTTGCATCTCTTAACATCACTCCTCTCGGATCCAACTCTTTCAGCGCCAGATGAACATCCTCTTTCCTGAAATGAAGTCCATGTTCTCTGCATTTACTCTACATCCATCTGTAACCATGTAGCTGTCCGGAATGCTCCGATTGGTTGCGAATAAAGTCAACAAGGACCGAAGAAATAGTACTCTTTTGTTCAGCACTCGCTTCAAATGTCAGATTTTGCTTATTTGAAAACTCAACATCAAGAGCGGATATTATGTCTTTGTATTTATTTCAAGCCAATTTCAAAGTCACTTCAACTCGCCCACAGATGGAAACTCTTCACGTTCGTTGTTTTCATTCACCCGTAAGATGACCTGGAAGTACATAACGTGTAAAAAAAAAAGCGTTCCCTTGCAAAAAAAAAAAAAAAAAAAAAAAAAAGTTTGAGTTATCTCGGGAACTTTGCGAGGGAACGCAAAGCATGCCGTAGAAACGCAAAGTTGTTTTTTTCCCCCTTCACGTTATCTTAGGGGCTCTGTAATATTCCACACATTCGGTGAATTTGAGTTTATAAACTACAGTACCGCAGTGTCGACACAAAGTGCTACTGTTTTAGCTGCCACTAGATGTCAGCATTTGCTTTTACAGGTCGAATGTCAGTCACATGTGCCTCCATGTGGTAGGAGGGGGAGAGAGACTCTGGAGAGGAAAAAGCTTGGGAAGTTTTGCCACACTGCAGGAAAGAGAGAGAGCAGCCCGTATCCACAGAGTGTGCCATTATTAAGGGTAAGTTATTTTCCTATTTGTCACTATTGAAAATAAATAATATTTATTGGAAACACCCATTTTAAAAAATTCAGACTGCACTGTTTATTTAATTAATGTTTTGGTCAAGTCTTACCATGTAGATGCTCTGGTGTGAGAGAGCTTGTTTAAGAGTTTTAACTTTAATGAATGGAAGCACTGGTGGGCTGAAGTTGTAGGATGAGTATCTGTACCATTTCACTGTTTATCTTAGGTTGAAATTTCTTCACGAATGTTGCTCTTGATTTACCTAAAAGGTACAAAAACATGAATCTTAATAGTTTAATAGTTCACACTTTGATGTTCACAGTTGTTATATATTTTAAAAGTAAGTACCAAGTACGGTCTTTCACTGCTCAGTTAGTGGCCACATTTTCAAATCTTCTTTTGTTAACATGTTATGATAACATGTTATGATGATGGACATTGTGAGCTCTGACAGACCAAACTATGTCTCCCGAGACCACGATGTAAGCCAGAAATAAACTTGTGGATAAGAACAACATTTCGAAATACCAACCATTCCAGGGAGTATTCCTTCCCTTCGCTTTCTCTTTTTTGAGGAGCATACAGGAACTTTATTTGCCCAGGACTTCTAAAAGCTATTTTTTGTGTTGGTTGGCTTTTTGCGGTCTTATATGTTCCCAAAATATGGTGTTCATTTTGGATTTTCATGTATTTCTTTGTTTAAATGTATTTCTAATAATTCATATGAAGCTCATAAACAGATCAACTGAATCGCTTGACTTTCTGGCCATCTCACTTGTGCTCAATCATTTGTGTTTCAAAACTAACAATACAAAATTCATACCGGTATATCATACGCCATGTGTGCATGTGCACACACACCCCCACCCACACACACGCACACACCCACACACACACACACGCACACACACACACACGCACACACACACAGTTTTGTCACTACTCTGTATTGAATACAAAGTAACTTAGGTATGCAAAGAAAGACAAACTGCAACATCAGCTAAAACTAGTGGGGCACTGCGTCTTGGCATAGCATTAGGCAAAAAAAAAAAAAAAAAAAAAGACCTGCTATATCGGTAGCAGTCGCTCAGATTGTGACTTTTGGTAGGTTGAAATGTAATCAATGCTTTGACTTTGTTTTTGTGGGCTCAAGTGTACTCAGCACTTGCTCACTTCTTCAAAAGTAAAATTCTCATTTGGGGCTTAAAACAGCTCTGACGCTGGTTGTCATAGTGATGCAAAGCTGTTCTCGTGATGGTGGGGTGAGCTGTGGCTCATTTGCATAAGCCTCTAAAACTAATTGATTCCAGAAGAGCAGTTAAAAGGCGATGGATGATAAGTATGCTACAATTCTAGATTCTTGGGATATTTTGAGCAGAGCATATGAGAGCCACCAGGGTACTGTTTTAAAATGTGAAGGGGGAGAAAAAATCCTAATATGTCTCCTTTAAAGACTGAATGCTGTTTTTGATCGTTTTGTGTTTGTGTGTCAGTATACTTTAAAACAGGGGTGCCCAAACTTTTTTGACCGAAGATCTACTTTTTGATCAACCAACCTCCCGCGATCGACCCGTTACCGCACACGCATGCACTTACACACACATGGCATGATGAGCAACATTCTGACGCGGAGGCACGCGAATCACTTTCGCACCCTGTTACTGTCGTAGCTCACACGCACCGTTTTAAAATGCTTCTCTTGGCCCTCCAGATTCCCATTCTGTGCCTGTGCCCTCAGTGAATTGTACATGAAACAAACTCTGAATGAGAATAATGACAACGATAAAAGCTATATCATAACAGCTCTGATCACAAGCGGCAATTGCAGACTGTTGAGTGCTAACAACTTCCGATGACGCAGGTCACGCGCCACAATCGGTTAAAGATGACCTGCTTTCTTTTCTTTTCTTTATTTAATAATTTTTGTGAAAGTGAGACTGATCGGACGATTAAGGTGCAGTGTGCATCAACACAAAAGATATATTACTAACATGCCCAGAGACACACACATGTTTTTTTCCTCTACACTCCTCGCGATCGATTTGGGACCAGTCCACGAGCTCCCGGTCAATCACAATCGACGTAATGGGCACCCCTGCTTTAAAACATCTCTGAAACATGCACATTCAGAACTGATTGCCATCAGTGGTTCATGTTCATTTTTCATTAATTAGTTTGTGATGGACCACATTTGGTTGTCTTAGACATTGAACATTAACATTTGGTTCAGAGACAATTTTAACAGACAATGATACAATGCAGGCTTAAGACATGGTCACAAAGGTTGTTCCCTGCGTGGAGCCTTGAGTCTCAACCCGATTTGTGTATAATCCACACTGCACAGACACATACTGAATAATTGAAGTCCTCATACTTCATACAGACAGACAAAAAGCAAGTTGTTGGTTGGTTATTTTGGTAGCTACCATTAGGAGAATATCTCGTACATAATAATTAAATAATATCAACAGAATGGCAGTGGATGTCAAAGAAACCTTGAATAATTGACTGGAGCTGTTATAAGATCTCCTCTCATGTTAGATTGCATTGGTACAATATTTTGTACACGTTTTCATATGTACAGTTTCATTTTTTGTTTTGTTATTTCTTTTGTGTACTTGTCCATTCTTGTGTTATATGGACCTGTGTCTGCAATAATGAATGACTACATTGGAGAAAATTCAAAAGTAC